ATTTCTTTTGCCACTTATTATGACTTTTCATTTTCAGTCAATTGTAATCAGATAAATCCCTAGCATTAACATATTTTCTCCAAGAGTTCAATAGTCCAAAAAGCTATCTGCTAGCCGCCATTTGGGGAAGGGGAGTGTTCATTGTTTCAAAATGTTTTGTATTATTTTAAAATTATTTATTTCTTGTCTTTTCATGAACTTGTAAATCACTATTAAATATATTTTATGAAAATTATAGACTTGAAATGAATGTCAATACTAAAGATCGAAAGGGAAACACTGAAAATAGTATGTCAAAGTTTATGTACTGCGCATGCGCACAAGATACAAAATTTGAGGTGCCTCCATATCTGAAATCATTTCGGTCATGCTCTGTTATATGATGACCAATTTTGGTGCTTTTGTCATCAAATGCACAATTCTTATGAAAACTTGATCTTAGCCGCTCCACTAGTTTACCTGGTGCGAACACTGACAAACGACACATGTTAACAAGTATATCTGCAGGAACAGAGCAATCACGCAACAACAAGACCAATGTCATCGGTGTTGTGATCACCTAAGTTTTTAAAAGAGTTGCTTTCAGAACAAGAACTGTATCTGTTAAAATATATGTACATGGGGATAGTCGCATATCTGTATTTATTGAAATGTGTATATGAAGACAAGGATTCTGTATATCGTGCAGATCACAAACGATTGCGTTGGACAAAATCGTGAAGCGCACATAAGTATAGGTATTGATGAACTTTCTGAAAGAGATAAAAAAAAGGTTTTAGGCTGTTACTTTCTATCCCTAAAATGTATACAAATGCAAATAGCATCGGCCAAACTGGGCGGTCAGTGGTATGGGTAATAGGATATCCAGAAAATCATGTTTACTCGTAAAATCTGGCTAAAAAACGAATAGTTGCTGAAAACGATAGATCAGACTTTACACGGCAAATAGGTCGCTCAGCCAGGTATGACGACGGAACGTCGACTCACCTGGCATGAAATGCACGTGCTGCCTACAGGCACCCCAAAGATATTCTATGTCTCTCATGTGTGTTGAATATGTCTCATCTATTTGTTAACGTCGTTAACATCTTACGTGTCTTCTTTCATAAAGTTTATGTTGAGAGATGTTAAAGAGTATGATACCCATAGAAAAGCTTAAATCAGCCATCGTATTAAATGTCTCAAGATATATAGGTGGCATGACCACCCGATGATCGACAGGACTGGATATTATTTGTAAATTGTTATGACATTCCGTTTACTTCCCCAGTTTAATTCCCCTAAAGGATTATCTTATCTTAACTGATGTCTCTATCCCCGAGCCCGACCCCAACCACCGTCTGCGACACCCGTCCTGGTTTTTCGCTTTTGAGACGACCCTCCTACCTGTTTGCTTAAATAGTGATAGTGAGACTCCATGGGAGCTACATCCTTAATAGTTTCAGTATCAAAGTTATTATATTTCATGTCGCTATCGTATATAATGAAACTATGTCTAATTTCAAAATGGGCATTTAATAAGTGTCCTTTGTAATACAATATCCTCGCACACTAAATTGCATTAAGCCATGGTCTGTTCCAAATAAGTCATTTTGGACTTAGAAAATTTCTGCACTAATCTCTCTTCAGAAAAGTCCTTTTTACCGTTTCCTATCTCCCTACCACCGGGACTGTAGTTAGGTCGAACTTAGTTTAACAGATATTTCACATATTAGCTACATAAATTGTAGATATATATGTGAAAAAACAGTACTTAGAGAATACCGTTATACAAAAGCAACTTGCAGTGTCTACGTTTAGCTTATGACATCACATGGAAGCACAGTATTTTAAAAGATTTACCTGAGTTTGGTTTGCGGGACTCATTGCCTCAATTTATATCCAACTTTTTAAAGTTACAGGCAATTTCAAGTCCGTGTGGGTTCTACCCTGTCATATCATTATAATCAGGAGCAAGGTGTCCCGCAAGGAAGTATGTTGTCTGCCACTCTGTTCAGCAAACATTATTAGCAATTAGTTTATCAAACGTTTTTAATAATTCCATTGATAGATAATTTTCATATTTTCCTGTCGTCGGAAAAGCATGTATACTATTAAAAGGCAACTCCTATTGTGTTTACATAAAATCGTTGAATGGTGTTTTGAAAATGGATATCAATTTTCAAACTGCAAAACTACTTGCATCCTTTTTTTGTCCAAAATAAAAACATAGCAAAGATCCGGAAGTGTTTTTAGATGAAACTCTATTAACGTTGTAAGGGAAAGTAAGTTTCTTGATATCATTTTCGATCTCCTTTTGACCTTTTGTCCTCTTTTGTCCTCATATAAAATCTGTGAAAAATAAATGCCTGGATATCTATGTATGTAAGTGTGTGTGTGTGGGGTGGGGGTGGGAGGTGGGGGAGCATACTCCTCCAACAAAACAGACCACTGATCCGATCTGAACGTGATAACGGCTGATTCATTTTTTAGTGGAGCTTGTAAAAACAATTGAAAAGTAGTAGATTCTATTCATCATGAAGGAGGCTTTCCTTGGAGCCTTCGGAACTTCACGTATTCATTGTTCATATGTGGAGCTTGATGGGCCGCCCTTGAAACTACCCTGACTTAAATTATCTTTACAGAATATTATTATAGGATATTTATATAGCGCACATATCCAGGCAACTAGTGCATGCTCAAGGCGCTGGTATTTTCCCCTCGATCATTGGATGTCAATCTCAACGGCACATCGTATTATCAATCTCAACTCCCTGGGGAGTATACAACTCTTGCAGCCACTAGGCGCACCGAGTTATTGTGGCTTTCTCATCCTAACGAGGTACCCATTCACAGCTGGGTGGACTGGGACACATAGTCACAGTACTTTGTCCAAGTTCACTGCACGTTGCTGTGCCCGCAACTAGGTGTTTGCACGTATTCATGTGGCCACCATCTGGTCATATACCAACGGATTCGTGGGTTCTTTTAAGTGCACAGGGATGTGTACTGTACACTAGGGGTTGTGACAACACTGAAAGAGTCTGCACAGAAAGTTGACTCCAAGGTTTTTACACCCGGTCACAGGTGGGCTCGATCCCGGGACCTCAACCTCGCTGGATCACTAGCCTGGCGTCTTAGCCAGCTCGCCCACCGCGCCCCACCATGTGTTGAATTTTCTTATCAGAAGGGATAAATATTTCAATGCTAAAACTGTTAAGGATCTTCTTAGTAATGTTAATTCTCATTTAATTATTGAATTGTTAAAAGAAATAAAACTGATAGATGAATTTTGATTCATATTGTTTGTAGATAAATGCATTTTTAGTATTGGTGATTTAAATTAGAAACTGAATTTGTGAATGGCTGTGCCTGCGAAGGGGGTTGACGAAGCATAGAATTATTGTCCTCTTGAGAGGGTACGTAAGTCCCAAAACATTTGAAGTAAATTTAAGTCTACCAGGTTTTTAATCGTAGTATTTTTTGTTATTTGAATGTATGGCTGAATCTCAGCATAAACGCCAATGGCTGAAGGGATAGTGTAAATCCAGCTAGGGTCCATGAAGGTAGCAAAAGTAATGTAAGTCCCCATGGACCCTAGTATGGTGATCTACCTTCAGTTTTTGGTGATGAATAGCCTATTGGTCTCCTACTTTTAAATATATAGCCTAGCTAGTTTTAACTCATTTTGTGATAATCTAGTCATTTCACTGTCTTTCGTTGACAGGGTTTTATATATCATATGTATGTTTTATAAAGTTAGAACAAGTTTTATCGCGATCTACCTTCGTTTGTTGGCGGTTGTTGTATACTGTGTTGTTTAGAAAATGACCGCCTCCGTGGTGTAGTGGTTAGAGTGTCCGCTCAGAGAGCGGAAGGTTGCAGGTTCGATCCCCGACCGCGTCATACCAAAAGACGTTAAAATATGGTACTTGTTGGTCCCTACCTGGCGCTCGGCATTAATGGGTACAACAAGGACTGGTCGGCTCGGAGTCAGTATAATGTGTCTGAGTGGGGTATTCATGCTTCACTGCGGCGTGGTATCTCAGTGGGCTAGCACTATAAAACCAGCTTATGTCTGGGCTAGTACAAGCAGCCGCACATACACATACACACGCATGCACGTCGTCATATGAGCGAAGTATTCTCAAGCACGACGTTAAACCCAATTTCAATAGTCAGGTCAATAGTGATCAAAAGCTGTTTAGATCACAATAAGGTATTGTTCACCAACTGTCTCTAAGTCTCGGCACTAAATACTATTTTTAATTATGAAGTTATAAATTGAAATTTAAAGAAACATGCACCTGAATACATAGCGAATGCTGCGAGTTACGTTAAGAGATCTTGGGGAGCACAGGAAGCAAAAGTTGTGTTCCATGCCTTCTACATGTATGTGTCAGGAAGTGTCAGGACGTTTGGTGGAAGTATCGGTTCATGTGTATGGAGCAAGTGTGAAGGCATCATTTAGGAGTGAAGCCTGCTGTGTGTTCGAGATGTATGGACACTGAAGAGTAGATACCACGTAATGTAATTTGGAACCGAACGCTTAAGAATGCATAGTCCTACCATATTTGAAATGGGTTTCACAAGGAATAAAGGAGCCCCATTAACCAATCAGAATCAAGCATTTGTCAATGTCATGGTAGATTGTGAAGTAAGTATCAGGACATTTTCATTTTGCACGAAACAGCGCCAATCCAAGCAACATATATCAGGTCTACGTTGTGTGGCACGTAGCAGGGCGTCACCCTGTAGAACATATACGGCCATTCTCAAGCATAATGTATCATGTCGTATTATTGTGTGTCAGCGTCATTATGTAGCAAGTATCAACTACATTGTTGTGTTTGCAATATCTTGCCGTCATGGCAACGTGTATCAAATCAGTATTCTCTTAAGTCTGTGAGTGGGCGTACTCATAAACCTCAATCCTTGACTCATTGTCCTTGACCACTGAATCACTGCCAATCTTCACACACACTGCGTTATACAATTCAATGTTGTGACAATAAAATAAATAATAGTAATATATTTTATTAGTGTTACGTACAGCTTAGAAGTGAGGGTTCATATACACATATACATATTTACATGTCGTAATATAATACAAGGAAAGGCACATGTATTACAAGACAAGTTCGAACCAGCGAACAGGCCAGTAAGTGCCAGGGGACACATTTCTTCCTGGTATCTTGTGGTCGACTGTTAGACGCTGCACGTTGTTATGTCCATAATAAGTATGTATTCACATCCCATTAATTTGTGTAATATCCCATAATCCAAGCTGGGGATATTATAAACATCATTTTCCTCATATTTGTCGAATTAAATGTATAACAACATCTCTAATGTTTAATGTTGTTTGGAATGTTAGGCTGAGTGACTCCCTACTCTGACGCCATTTAAGGTCAGACATGAACCCCACACAGTCTGAAGATATATCCATTATGTACATGTGACTACTGGCTCGGAGTCCATTGAGTCACTGAACTAATACCATTCTGATATACACAATACTGTTAGTATTAAAGTGATATGTTATGTGTCAAATACTGACGAATGTGCTATTCATATATTGGTGTTTTGTCACCTGTACATGATAGAGCGCCATTCCAGGTTCATATGGATATATGGTAATGACAACATATGGCTTTCTTGTCAGGTGAATGTCGATTTGATATTTTAGAATCTGGAAACCTGAAGTCAAGTGTTCTGTCACCACATCTGATGGACACAGTAAGCCCCAATTCCTTTTTCCGAAACAGTTTGAGATACTACATCCTTGACACCTACGTCCACAGTGAAATGGATGCTCATACCCAAATCATGTCGTCGACAGTGATGAACATCTGGGCAAGAAGACACCGATGACGTTTACCGGTGATATCCGATGGTATATGCTTGTATTTGGGACGATAAGGAGGAGAATGATTGTTCACATGGTGTTATCGAATGGTTGGACTTGTGCCAGGAGTGATGACGACAATAGAGGATGTACAGGGGTGGATAGATGCTCAACACCCAGTTATCACTGACGACGATGATTGCATGGAAGACGATGCTGATGCGACGATTGTGCCAGATGTCGACTGGACAACAGGTGTTGATGTTGGTGTCACTGCCAACGATGACTGCATACAAGACGATGCTGAAGTGATTATTGTGGCAGATGTCGACGGAGCAACAGATGCGACAAATTGTGTTACAGTCGACGACGATTGCAATGACGACGATTCTGAAGCAGTGATTATGACAGATGTCGTTTGGGTAACAGGCGATGATGACTGGAGACGTTGCTGAAACTTGTGTCGAAGTCGATGTTGACTGTATAACTGGAGTTGTGGATTGTGTCACGACCAACGACGATTGCAATGACGAAGACGATGAAGCAGCAATTGTCGCAGATATTGACATGGCAACAGATGATGTCGTAGGTGTCACTACCGACGATGATTTTATAAAAGATATTACCGATGTTTGCCCTGAGACAGACGTCGACTGTTCAGCAGATGATACAGATTGTGTCACAGCAGACGATAATTGCAGTGACGACGATGTCGAAGCTGCGATTGTGGCAGATGTCGACTGGGCAACGGGCGTCGATGCTGATGCTGAGGCAGCGATTGTAGCTGACAATGATGTTGAAACAGTGGTTGTAGCAGACGCCGAATGGCCAACAGGCGTTGAGGATGATGCAGAAGTAGAGACTGTAACAGACGTCAACTGGACAACAGCTGTTGTAGATTGTGTGACACCTGACGATGACGTTGTAGGAGTGATTGAAGCAGACGCCGACTGGACAACAGGTATTGAAGATTGTGTCATGGATGACGATGATGTTGAAGCAGTGATTGAAGCAGACGTCGACTGGACAACAGGCGTTGAAGATTGTGTTACAGCTGACGATGATCCTGAAGCACCAATTGCGGCAGACGTCGACTGGACAACAGGTGTTGAAGATTGTGTCACAGCTGACGATGATGTTGAAGCAGCGGTTGTAGAAGACGCCGACTGGACAACAGGTATTGAAGATTGTGTGACACCTGAAGATAATGTCGAAGGAGTGATTGTAGCAAAAGTCGACTGCACAAAAGGCGTTGAGGGGGATACTGAAGCAGCAATTGTGACAGACGTCGATTCGGCAACAGACGTTGAGGATGATGCAGAAGTAGCGATTGTAGCAGACGTCGGCTGGGCAACAGGCGTTGTAGATTGTGTTACAGTTGACGATGATGCTGAAGCAGCGATGGCAGCAGACATCGACTGGACAACAGGTGTTGAAGATTGTGTCACAGCTGACGATGATGTTGAAGCAGCGGTTGTAGAAGACGCCGACTGGACAACAGATGTTGAAGATTGTGTCACAGCTGACGATGATGTTGTAGGAGTGATTGTAGCTGACGTCGACTGGAGAACAGGTGTTGAAGATTGTGTCATGGTTGACGATGATGCTGAAGCAGTGATTGAAGCAGACGTCACCTGGACGACAGGCGTTGAAGATTGTGTGACGGCTGATGAGGATGTTGAAGGAGTGATTGTAGCAGATGTCGTCTGAGCAACAGGCGTTGAGGATGATGGGGAAGAAGCCGTTGTGGGAGAAGACGATTGGGAAACAAACTTTGAAGATGATGCTGAAACAGTGATTATAGCAGACGTCGGCTGGGCAACAGGCGTTGAGGATGATACTGAAGCAGTGATTGTGGCAGACGTCGGCTGGGCAACAGGCGTTGTAGATTGTGTTACAGTTGACGATGATGCTGAAGCAGCGATGGCAGCAGACATCGACTGGACAACAGGTGTTGAAGATTGTGTCACAGCTGACGATGATGTTGAAGCAGCGGTTGTAGAAGACGCCGACTGGACAACAGATGTTGAAGATTGTGTCACAGCTGACGATGATGTTGTAGCAGACGTACCTGGGAGTTGATTGTGTGACGGCTGATAGGGCAGACGTCGACTGGACAATGTCGTCTGAGCAACAGGTGTTGAAGAATTGTGGGAAGACGATTGGGAAACAGCTGACGATGATGCTGAAGCAGTGATTGTAGCAGACGTCGACGGCTGGGCAACAGGCGTTGAGGATGATACTGAAGCAGTGATTGTGGCAGATGTCGTTTGGGCAACAGGTCCTGAAGATGATGTTGAAGCAGCGATTGTGGCAGACGTCGACTGGACAACAGGTGTTGAAGATTGTGTTACAGCTGACGATGATGTTGAAGCAGCGGTTGTAGAAGACGCCGACTGGACAACAGGTATTGAAGATTGTGTGACACCTGAAGATAATGTCGAAGGAGTGATTGTAGCAAAAGTCGACTGCACAAAAGGCGTTGAGGGGGATACTGAAGCAGCAATTGTGACAGACGTCAATTTGGCAACAGACGTTGAGGATGATGCAGAAGTAGCGATTGTATTAGACGTCGGCTGGGCAACAGGCGTTGAAGCAGATTGTGTTACAGTTGACGATGATGCTGAAGCAGCGATGGCGGCAGACATCGACTGGACAACAGGTGTTGAAGATTGTGTCACAGCTGACGATGATGTTGAAGCAGCGGTTGTAGAAGACGCCGACTGGACAACAGATGTTGAAGATTGTGTCACAGCTGACGATGATGTTGTAGGAGTGATTGTAGCTGACGTGGATTGGAGAACAGGTGTTGAAGATTGTGTCATGGTTGACGATGATGCTGAAGCAGTGATTGAAGCAGACGTCACCTGGACGACAGGCGTTGAAGATTGTGTGACGGCTGATGAGGACGTTGAAGGAGTGATTGTAGCAGATGTCGTCTGAGCAACAGGCGTTGAGGATGATGGGGAAGAAGCCGTTGTGGGAGAAGACGATTGGGAAACAAACTTTGAAGATGATGCTGAAGCAGTGATTGTAGCAGACGTCGGCTGGGCAACAGGCGTTGAGGATGATACTGAAGCGTTTAAGCAACAGGTGATTGTGGCAGATGTCGTTTGGGAAGCAAACAGGTGAAGATAATGTCTGAAGCTGATGTTGAAGCAGCGATTGTGGCAGACGTCGACTGGACAACAGGTGTTGAAGATTGTGTCACAGCTGACGATGATGTTGAAGCAGCGGTTGTAGAAGACGCCGACTGGACAACAGATGTTGAAGATTGTGTCACAGCTGACGATGATGTTGTAGGAGTGATTGTAGCTGACGTGGATTGGAGAACAGGTGTTGAAGATTGTGTCATGGTTGACGATGATGCTGAAGCAGTGATTGAAGCAGACGTCACCTGGACGACAGGCGTTGAAGATTGTGTGACGGCTGATGAGGACGTTGAAGGAGTGATTGTAGCAGATGTCGTCTGAGCAACAGGCGTTGAGGATGATGGGGAAGAAGCCGTTGTGGGAGAAGACGATTGGGAAACAAACTTTGAAGATGATGCTGAAGCAGTGATTGTAGCAGACGTCGGCTGGGCAACAGGCGTTGAGGATGATACTGAAGCAGTGATTGTGGCAGATGTCGTTTGGGCAACAGGTCCTGAAGATGATGTTGAAGCAGCGATTGTGGCAGACGTCGACTGGACAACAGGTGTTGAAGATTGTGTTACAGCTGACGATGATGTTGAAGCAGCGGTTGTAGAAGACGCCGACTGGACAACAGGTATTGAAGATTGTGTGACACCTGAAGATAATGTCGAAGGAGTGATTGTAGCAAAAGTCGACTGCACAAAAGGCGTTGAGGGGGATACTGAAGCAGCAATTGTGACAGACGTCAATTTGGCAACAGACGTTGAGGATGATGCAGAAGCAGCGATTGTAGCAGACGTCGGCTGGGCAACAGGCGTTGAAGATTGTGTTACAGCTGACGATGATGCTGAAGCAGCGATGGCAGCAGACATCGACTGGACAACAGGTGTTGAAGATTGTGTGACACCTGAAGATAATGTCGAAGGAGTGATTGTAGCAAAAGTCGACTGCACAAAAGGCGTTGAGGGGGATACTGAAGCAGCAATTGTGACAGACGTCGATTCGGCAACAGACGTTGAGGATGATGCAGAAGTAGCGATTGTAGCAGTCGTCGGCTGGGCAACAGGCGTTGTAGATTGTGTTACAGTTGACGATGATGCTGAAGCAGCGATGGCGGCAGACATCGACTGGACAACAGGTGTTGAAGATTGTGTCACAGCTGACGATGATGTTGAAGCAGCGGTTGTAGAAGACGCCGACTGGACAACAGATGTTGAAGATTGTGTCACAGCTGACGATGATGTTGTAGGAGTGATTGTAGCTGACGTGGATTGGAGAACAGGTGTTGAAGATTGTGTCATGGTTGACGATGATGCTGAAGCAGTGATTGAAGCAGACGTCACCTGGACGACAGGCGTTGAAGATTGTGTGACGGCTGATGAGGACGTTGAAGGAGTGATTGTAGCAGATGTCGTCTGAGCAACAGGCGTTGAGGATGATGGGGAAGAAGCCGTTGTGGGAGAAGACGATTGGGAAACAAACTTTGAAGATGATGCTGAAGCAGTGATTGTAGCAGACGTCGGCTGGGCAACAGGCGTTGAGGATGATACTGAAGCAGTGATTGTGGCAGATGTCGTTTGGGCAACAGGTCCTGAAGATGATGTTGAAGCAGCGATTGTGGCAGACGTCGACTGGACAACAGGTGTTGAAGATTGTGTTACAGCTGACGATGATGTTGAAGCAGCGGTTGTAGAAGACGCCGACTGGACAACAGGTATTGAAGATTGTGTGACAGCTGACGATGATGTTGTAGAAGTGATTGTAGCTGACGTGGATTGGAGAACAGGTGATTGAAGATTGTGTCATGGTTGACGATGATGCTGAAGCAGTGATTGAAGCAGACGTCACCTGGACGACAGGCGTTGAAGATTGTGTGACGGCTGATGAGGATGTTGAAGCAGTGATTGTAGCAGATGTCGTCTGAGCAACAGGCGTTGAGGATGATGGGGAAGAAGCCGTTGTTGGAGAAGACGATTGGGAAACAAACTTTGAAGATGATGCTGAAGCAGTGATTGTAGCAGACGTCGGCTGGGCAACAGGCGTTGAGGATGATACTGAAGCAGTGATTGTGGCAGATGTCGTTTGGGAAACAGGTCCTGAAGCTGATGTTGAAGCAGCGATTGTGGCAGACGTCGACTGGACAACAGGTGTTGAAGATTGTGTCACAGCTGACGATGATGTTGAAGCAGCGGTTGTAGAAGACGCCGACTGGACAACAGGTATTGAAGATTGTGTGACAGCTGACGATGATGTTGTAGGAGTGATTGTAGCTGACGTGGATTGGAGAACAGGTGTTGAAGATTGTGTCATGGTTGACGATGATGCTGAAGCAGTGATTGAAGCAGACGTCACCTGGACGACAGGCGTTGAAGATTGTGTGACGGCTGATGAGGACGTTGAAGGAGTGATTGTAGCAGATGTCGTCTGAGCAACAGGCGTTGAGGATGATGGGGAAGAAGCCGTTGTGGGAGAAGACGATTGGGAAACAAACTTTGAAGATGATGCTGAAGCAGTGATTGTAGCAGACGTCGGCTGGGCAACAGGCGTTGAGGATGATACTGAAGCAGTGATTGTGGCAGATGTCGTTTGGGCAACAGGTCCTGAAGATGATGTTGAAGCAGCGATTGTGGCAGACGTCGACTGGACAACAGGTGTTGAAGATTGTGTCACAGCTGACGATGATGTTGAAGCAGCGGTTGTAGAAGACGCCGACTGGACAACAGGTATTGAAGATTGTGTGACACCTGAAGATAATGTCGAAGGAGTGATTGTAGCAAAAGTCGACTGCACAAAAGGCGTTGAGGGGGATACTGAAGCAGCAATTGTGACAGACGTCGATTCGGCAACAGACGTTGAGGATGATGCAGAAGTAGCGATTGTAGCAGACGTCGGCTGGGCAAAAGGCGTTGTAGATTGTGTTACAGTTGACGATGATGCTGAAGCAGCGATGGCAGCAGACATCGACTGGACAACAGGTGTTGAAGATTGTGTGACACCTGAAGATAATGTCGAAGGAGTGATTGTAGCAAAAGTCGACTGCACAAAAGGCGTTGAGGGGGATACTGAAGGAGCAATTGTGACAGACGTCGATTCGGCAACAGACGTTGAGGATGATGCAGAAGTAGCGATTGTAGCAGTCGTCGGCTGGGCAACAGGCGTTGTAGATTGTGTTACAGTTGACGATGATGCTGAAGCAGCGATGGCAGCAGACATCGACTGGACAACAGGTGTTGAAGATTGTGTCACAGCTGACGATGATGTTGAAGAGGTTGTAGAAGACGCCGACTGGACAACAGATGTTGAAGACGTGGATTGGAGAACAGGTGTTGAAGATTGTGTCATGGTTGACGATGATGCTGAAGCAGTGATTGAAGCAGACGTCACCTGGACGACAGGCGTTGAAGATTGTGTGACGGCTGATGAGGACGTTGAAGGAGTGATTGTAGCAGATGTCGTCTGAGCAACAGGCGTTGAGGATGATGGGGAAGAAGCCGTTGTGGGAGAAGACGATTGGGAAACAAACTTTGAAGATGATGCTGAAGCAGTGATTGTAGCAGACGTCGGCTGGGCAACAGGCGTTGAGGATGATACTGAAGCAGTGATTGTGGCAGATGTCGTTTGGGCAACAGGTCCTGAAGATGATGTTGAAGCAGCGATTGTGGCAGACGTCGACTGGACAACAGGTGTTGAAGATTGTGTTACAGCTGACGATGATGTTGAAGCAGCGGTTGTAGAAGACGCCGACTGGACAACAGGTATTGAAGATTGTGTGACACCTGAAGATAATGTCGAAGGAGTGATTGTAGCAAAAGTCGACTGCACAAAAGGCGTTGAGGGGGATACTGAAGCAGCAATTGTGACAGACGTCGATTTGGCAACAGACGTTGAGGATGATGCAGAAGTAGCGATTGTAGCAGTCGTCGGCTGGGCAACAGGCGTTGTAGATTGTGTTACAGTTGACGATGATGCTGAAGCAGCGATGGCAGCAGACATCGACTGGACAACAGGTGTTGAAGATTGTGTCACAGCTGACGATGATGTTGAAGCAGCGGTTGTAGAAGACGCCGACTGGACAACAGATGTTGAAGATTGTGTCACAGCTGACGATGATGTTGTAGGAGTGATTGTAGCTGACGTGGATTGGAGAACAGGTGTTGAAGATTGTGTCATGGTTGACGATGATGCTGAAGCAGTGATTGAAGCAGACGTCACCTGGACGACAGGCGTTGAAGATTGTGTGACGGCTGATGAGGACGTTGAAGGAGTGATTGTAGCAGATGTCGTCTGAGCAACAGGCGTTGAGGATGATGGGGAAGAAGCCGTTGTGGGAGAAGACGATTGGGAAACAAACTTTGAAGATGATGCTGAAGCAGTGATTGTAGCAGACGTCGGCTGGGCAACAGGCGTTGAGGATGATACTGAAGCAGTGATTGTGGCAGATGTCGTTTGGGCAACAGGTCCTGAAGATGATGTTGAAGCAGCGATTGTGGCAGACGTCGACTGGACAACAGGTGTTGAAGATTGTGTTACAGCTGACGATGATGTTGAAGCAGCGGTTGTAGAAGACGCCGACTGGACAACAGGTATTGAAGATTGTGTGACACCTGAAGATAATGTCGAAGGAGTGATTGTAGCAAAAGTCGACTGCACAAAAGGCGTTGAGGGGGATACTGAAGCAGCAATTGTGACAGACGTCAATTTGGCAACAGACGTTGAGGATGATGTTGAAGCAGCGATTGTATTAGGCGTCGGCTGGGCAACAGGTGTTGAAGATTGTGTTACAGCTGACGATGATGCTGAAGCAGCGATGGCAGCAGACATCGACTGGACAACAGGTGTTGAAGATTGTGTGACACCTGAAGATAATGTCGAAGGAGTGATTGTAGCAAAAGTCGACTGCACAAAAGGCGTTGAGGGGGATACTGAAGCAGCAATTGTGACAGACGTCGATTCGGCAACAGACGTTGAGGATGATGCAGAAGTAGCGATTGTAGCAGACGTCGGCTGGGCAACAGGCGTTGTAGATTGTGTTACAGTTGACGATGATGCTGAAGCAGCGATGGCGGCAGACATCGACTGGACAACAGGTGTTGAAGATTGTGTCACAGCTGACGATGATGTTGAAGCAGCGGTTGTAGAAGACGCCGACTGGACAACAGATGTTGAAGATTGTGTCACAGCTGACGATGATGTTGTAGGAGTGATTGTAGCTGACGTGGATTGGAGAACAGGTGTTGAAGATTGTGTCATGGTTGACGATGATGCTGAAGCAGTGATTGAAGCAGACGTCACCTGGACGACAGGCGTTGAAGATTGTGTGACGGCTGATGAGGACGTTGAAGGAGTGATTGTAGCAGATGTCGTCTGAGCAACAGGCGTTGAGGATGATGGGGAAGAAGCCGTTGTGGAGAAGACGATTGGGAAACAAACTTTGAAGATGATGCTGAAGCAGTGATTGTAGCAGACGTCGGCTGGGCAACAGGCGTTGAGGATGATACTGAAGCAGTGATTGTGGCAGATGTCGTTTGGGCAACAGGTCCTGAAGATGATGTTGAAGCAGCGATTGTGGCAGACGTCGACTGGACAACAGGTGTTGAAGATTGTGTCACAGCTGACGATGATGTTGAAGCAGCGGTTGTAGAAGACGCCGACTGGACAACAGGTATTGAAAGATTGTGTGACACCTGAAGATAATGTCGAAGGAGTGATTGTGGAGGAGAAAGTCGACTGCATGGTTGACGAAAAGGCGTTGAGGGGATACTGGAAGCAGGCGTTGAAATTGTGACAGACGTCGATTTGAAGGAGTGATTGCAACAGACGTTGAGGATGATGCAGAAGATTGGGAAACAAGCTTTGAAGATGATGCTGAAGCAGTGATTGTCAGACGTCTGCTGGCAACAGGCGTTGTAGGATGTGTTACAGTTGACGATGATGCTGGGAAACAGGCGATGGCGGCAGACATCGACTGGACAACAGGTGTTGAAGATTGTGTCACAGCTGACGATGATGTTGAAGAAGCGGTTGTAGAAGACGCCGACTGGACAACAGATGTTGAAGATTGTGTCACAGCTGACGATGATGTTGTAGGAGTGATTGTAGCTGACGTGGATTGGAGAACAGGTGTTGAAGATTGTGTCATGGTTGACGATGATGCTGAAGCAGTGATTGAAGCAGACGTCACCTGGACGACAGGCGTTGAAGATTGTGTGACGGCTGATGAGGACGTTGAAGGAGTGATTGTAGCAGATGTCGTCTGAGCAACAGGCGTTGAGGATGATGGGGAAGAAGCCGTTGTGGGAGAAGACGATTGGGAAACAAACTTTGAAGATGATGCTGAAGCAGTGATTGTAGCAGACGTCGGCTGGGCAACAGGCGTTGAGGATGATACTGAAGCAGTGATTGTGGCAGATGTCGTTTGGGCAACAGGTCCTGAAGATGATGTTGAAGCAGCGATTGTGGCAGACGTCGACTGGACAACAGGTGTTGAAGATTGTGTCACAGCTGACGATGATGTTGAAGCAGCGGTTGTAGAAGACGCCGACTGGACAACAGGTATTGAAGATTGTGTGACACCTGAAGATAATGTCGAAGGAGTGATTGTAGCAAAAGTCGACTGCACAAAAGGCGTTGAGGGGGATACTGAAGCAGCAATTGTGACAGACGTCAATTTGGCAACAGACGTTGAGGATGATGCAGAAGTAGCGATTGTAGCAGACGTCGGCTGGGCAACAGGCGTTGTAGATTGTGTTACAGTTGACGATGATGCTGAAGCAGCGATGGCGGCAGACATCGACTGGACAACAGGTGTTGAAGATTGTGTCACAGCTGACGATGATGTTGAAGCAGCGGTTGTAGAAGACGCCGACTGGACAACAGATGTTGAAGATTGTGTCACAGCTGACGATGATGTTGTAGGAGTGATTGTAGCTGACGTGGATTGGAGAACAGGTGTTGAAGATTGTGTCATGGTTGACGATGATGCTGAAGCAGTGATTGAAGCAGACGTCACCTGGACGACAGGCGTTGAAGATTGTGTGACGGCTGATGAGGACGTTGAAGGAGTGATTGTAGCAGATGTCGTCTGAGCAACAGGCGTTGAGGATGATGGGGAAGAAGCCGTTGTGGGAGAAGACGATTGGGAAACAAACTTTGAAGATGATGCTGAAGCAGTGATTGTAGCAGACGTCGGCTGGGCAACAGGCGTTGAGGATGATACTGAAGCAGTGATTGTGGCAGATGTCGTTTGGGCAACAGGTCCTGAAGATGATGTTGAAGCAGCGATTGTGGCAGACGTCGACTGGACAACAGGTGTTGAAGATTGTGTTACAGCTGACGATGATGTTGAAGCAGCGGTTGTAGAAGACGCCGACTGGACAACAGGTATTGAAGATTGTGTGACACCTGAAGATAATGTCGAAGGAGTGATTGTAGCAAAAGTCGACTGCACAAAAGGCGTTGAGGGGGATACTGAAGCAGCAATTGTGACAGACGTCGATTTGGCAACAGACGTTGAGGATGATGCAGAAGTAGCGATTGTAGCAGACGTCGGCTGGGCAACAGGCGTTGTAGATTGTGTTACAGTTGACGATGATGCTGAAGCAGCGATGGCGGCAGACATCGACTGGACAACAGGTGTTGAAGATTGTGTCACAGCTGACGATGATGTTGAAGCAGCGGTTGTAGAAGACGCCGACTGGACAACAGATGTTGAAGATTGTGTCACAGCTGACGATGATGTTGTAGGAGTGATTGTAGCTGACGTGGATTGGAGAACAGGTGTTGAAGATTGTGTCATGGTTGACGATGATGCTGAAGCAGTGATTGAAGCAGACGTCACCTGGACGACAGGCGTTGAAGATTGTGTGACGGCTGATGAGGACGTTGAAGGAGTGATTGTAGCAGATGTCGTCTGAGCAACAGGCGTTGAGGATGATGGGGAAGAAGCCGTTGTGGGAGAAGACGATTGGGAAACAAACTTTGAAGATGATGCTGAAGCAGTGATTGTAGCAGACGTCGGCTGGGCAACAGGCGTTGAGGATGATACTGAAGCAGTGATTGTGGCAGATGTCGTTTGGGCAACAGGTCCTGAAGATGATGTTGAAGCAGCGATTGTGGCAGACGTCGACTGGACAACAGGTGTTGAAGATTGTGTTACAGCTGACGATGATGTTGAAGCAGCGGTTGTAGAAGACGCCGACTGGACAACAGGTATTGAAGATTGTGTGACACCTGAAGATAATGTCGAAGGAGTGATTGTAGCAAAAGTCGACTGCACAAAAGGCGTTGAGGGGGATACTGAAGCAGCAATTGTGACAGACGTCAATTTGGCAACAGACGTTGAGGATGATGCAGAAGTAGCGATTGTATTAGACGTCGGCTGGGCAACAGGCGTTGTAGATTGTGTTACAGTTGACGATGATGCTGAAGCAGCGATGGCGGCAGACATCGACTGGACAACAGGTGTTGAAGATTGTGTCACAGCTGACGATGATGTTGAAGCAGCGGTTGTAGAAGACGCCGACTGGACAACAGATGTTGAAGATTGTGTCACAGCTGACGATGATGTTGTAGGAGTGATTGTAGCTGACGTGGATTGGAGAACAGGTGTTGAAGATTGTGTCATGGTTGACGATGATGCTGAAGCAGTGATTGAAGCAGACGTCACCTGGACGACAGGCGTTGAAGATTGTGTGACGGCTGATGAGGACGTTGAAGGAGTGATTGTAGCAGATGTCGTCTGAGCAACAGGCGTTGAGGATGATGGGGAAGAAGCCGTTGTGGGAGAAAACGATTGGGAAACAAACTTTGAAGATGATGCTGAAGCAGTGATTGTAGCAGACGTCGGCTGGGCAACAGGCGTTGAGGATGATACTGAAGCAGTGATTGTGGCAGATGTCGTTTGGGCAACAGGTCCTGAAGATGATGTTGAAGCAGCGATTGTGGCAGACGTCGACTGGACAACAGGTGTTGAAGATTGTGTCACAGCTGACGATGATGTTGAAGCAGCGGTTGTAGAAGACGCCGACTGGACAACAGGTGTTGAAGATTGTGTCACAGCTGACGATGATGTTGAAGGAGTGATTGTAGCTGACGTGGATTGGAGAACAGGTGTTGAAGATTGTGTCATGGTTGACGATGATGCTGAAGCAGTGATTGAAGCAGACGTCACCTGGACGACAGGCGTTGAAGATTGTGTGACGGCTGATGAGGATGTTGAAGGAGTGATTGTAGCAGATGTCGTCTGAGCAACAGGCGTTGAGGATGATGGGGAAGAAGCCGTTGTGGGAGAAGACGATTGGGAAACAAACTTTGAAGATGATGCTGAAGCAGTGATTGTAGCAGACGTCGGCTGGGCAACAGGCGTTGAGGATGATACTGAAGCAGTGATTGTGGCAGATGTCGTTTGGGCAACAGGTCCTGAAGATGATGTTGAAGCAGCGATTGTGGCAGACGTCGACTGGACAACAGGTGTTGAAGATTGTGTTACAGCTGACGATGATGTTGAAGCAGCGGTTGTAGAAGACGCCGACTGGACAACAGGTATTGAAGATTGTGTGACACCTGAAGATAATGTCGAAGGAGTGATTGTAGCAAAAGTCGACTGCACAAAAGGCGTTGAGGGGGATACTGAAGCAGCAATTGTGACAGACGTCGATTTGGCAACAGACGTTGAGGATGATGCAGAAGTAGCGATTGTAGCAGACGTCGGCTGGGCAACAGGCGTTGTAGATTGTGTTACAGTTGACGATGATGCTGAAGCAGCGATGGCGGCAGACATCGACTGGACAACAGGTGTTGAAGATTGTGTCACAGCTGACGATGATGTTGAAGCAGCGGTTGTAGAAGACGCCGACTGGACAACAGATGTTGAAGATTGTGTCACAGCTGACGATGATGTTGTAGGAGTGATTGTAGCTGACGTGGATTGGAGAACAGGTGTTGAAGATTGTGTCATGGTTGACGATGATGCTGAAGCAGTGATTGAAGCAGACGTCACCTGGACGACAGGCGTTGAAGATTGTGTGACGGCTGATGAGGACGTTGAAGGAGTGATTGTAGCAGATGTCGTCTGAGCAACAGGCGTTGAGGATGATGGGGAAGAAGCCGTTGTGGGAGAAGACGATTGGGAAACAAACTTTGAAGATGATGCTGAAGCAGTGATTGTAGCAGACGTCGGCTGGGCAACAGGCGTTGAGGATGATACTGAAGCAGTGATTGTGGCAGATGTCGTTTGGGCAACAGGTCCTGAAGATGATGTTGAAGCAGCGATTGTGGCAGACGTCGACTGGACAACAGGTGTTGAAGATTGTGTCACAGCTGACGATGATGTTGAAGCAGCGGTTGTAGAAGACGCCGACTGGACAACAGGTATTGAAGATTGTGTCACAGCTGACGATGATGTTGAAGAAGTGATTGTAGCTGACGTGGATTGGAGAACAGGTGTTGAAGATTGTGTCATGGTTGACGATGATGCTGAAGCAGTGATTGAAGCAGACGTCACCTGGACGACAGGCGTTGAAGATTGTGTGACGGCTGATGAGGACGTTGAAGGAGTGATTGTAGCAGATGTCGTCTGAGCAACAGGCGTTGAGGATGATGGGGAAGAAGCCGTTGTGGGAGAAGACGATTGGGAAACAAACTTTGAAGATGATGCTGAAGCAGTGATTGTAGCAGACGTCGGCTGGGCAACAGGCGTTGAGGATGATACTGAAGCAGTGATTGTGGCAGATGTCGTTTGGGCAACAGGTCCTGAAGATGATGTTGAAGCAGCGATTGTGGCAGACGTCGACTGGACAACAGGTGTTGAAGATTGTGTTACAGCTGACGATGATGTTGAAGCAGCGGTTGTAGAAGACGCCGACTGGACAACAGGTATTGAAGATTGTGTGACACCTGAAGATAATGTCGAAGGAGTGATTGTAGCAAAAGTCGACTGCACAAAAGGCGTTGAGGGGGATACTGAAGCAGCAATTGTGACAGACGTCAATTTGGCAACAGACGTTGAGGATGATGCAGAAGCAGCGATTGTATTAGACGTCGGCTGGGCAACAGGCGTTGTAGATTGTGTTACAGTTGACGATGATGCTGAAGCAGCGATGGCGGCAGACATCGACTGGACAACAGGTGTTGAAGATTGTGTCACAGCTGACGATGATGTTGAAGCAGCGGTTGTAGAAGACGCCGACTGGACAACAGATGTTGAAGATTGTGTCACAGCTGACGATGATGTTGTAGGAGTGATTGTCACAGACGTGGATTGGAGAACAGGTGTTGAAGATTGTGTCATGGTTGACGATGATGCTGAAGCAGTGATTGAAGCAGACGTCACCTGGACGACAGGCGTTGAAGATTGTGTGACGGCTGATGAGGATGTTGAAGGAGTGATTGTAGCAGATGTCGTCTGAGCAGCAGGCGTTGAGGATGATGGGGAAGAAGCCGTTGTAGGAGAAGACGATCTGGACAACAGATGTTGAAGATTGTGTCACAGCTGACGATGATGTTGTAGGAGTGATTGTAGCTGACGTGGATTGGAGAACAGGTGTTGAAGATTGTGTCATGGTTGACGATGATGCTGAAGCAGTGATTGAAGCAGACGTCACCTGGACGACAGGCGTTGAAGATTGTGTGACGGCTGATGAGGACGTTGAAGGAGTGATTGTAGCAGATGTCGTCTGAGCAACAGGCGTTGAGGATGATGGGGAAGAAGCCGTTGTGGGAGAAGACGATTGGGAAACAAACTTTGAAGATGATGCTGAAGCAGTGATTGTAGCAGACGTCGGCTGGGCAACAGGCGTTGAGGATGATACTGAAGCAGTGATTGTGGCAGATGTCGTTTGGGCAACAGGTCCTGAAGATGATGTTGAAGCAGCGATTGTGGCAGACGTCGACTGGACAACAGGTGTTGAAGATTGTGTTACAGCTGACGATGATGTTGAAGCAGCGGTTGTAGAAGACGCCGACTGGACAACAGGTATTGAAGATTGTGTGACACCTGAAGATAATGTCGAAGGAGTGATTGTAGCAAAAGTCGACTGCACAAAAGGCGTTGAGGGGGATACTGAAGCAGTGATTGTGTCAGATGTCGTTTGGGCAACAGGTCCTGAAGATGATGTTGAAGCAGCGATTGTGGCAGACGTCGACTGGACAACAGGTGTTGAAGATTGTGTTACAGCTGACGATGATGTTGAAGCAGCGGTTGTAGGAAGACGCCGACTGGACAACAGGTATTGAAGATTGTGTGACACCTGAAGATAATGTCGAAGGAGTGATTGTAGCAAAAGTCGACTGCACAAAAGGCGTTGAGGGGGATACTGAAGCAGCAATTGTGACAGACGTCAATTTGGCAACAGACGTTGAGGATGATGCAGAAGTAGCGATTGTATTAGACGTCGGCTGGGCAACAGGCGTTGTAGATTGTGTTACAGTTGACGATGATGCTGAAGCAGCGATGGCGGCAGACATCGACTGGACAACAGGTGTTGAAGATTGTGTCACAGCTGACGATGATGTTGAAGCAGCGGTTGTAGAAGACGCCGACTGGACAACAGATGTTGAAGATTGTGTCACAGCTGACGATGATGTTGTAGGAGTGATTGTAGCTGACGTGGATTGGAGAACAGGTGTTGAAGATTGTGTCATGGTTGACGATGATGCTGAAGCAGTGATTGAAGCAGACGTCACCTGGACGACAGGCGTTGAAGATTGTGTGACGGCTGATGAGGACGTTGAAGGAGTGATTGTAGCAGATGTCGTCTGAGCAACAGGCGTTGAGGATGATGGGGAAGAAGCCGTTGTGGGAGAAGACGATTGGGAAACAAACTTTGAAGATGATGCTGAAGCAGTGATTGTAGCAGACGTCGGCTGGGCAACAGGCGTTGAGGATGATACTGAAGCAGTGATTGTGGCAGATGTCGTTTGGGCAACAGGTCCTGAAGATGATGTTGAAGCAGCGATTGTGGCAGACGTCGACTGGACAACAGGTGTTGAAGATTGTGTCACAGCTGACGATGATGTTGAAGCAGCGGTTGTAGAAGACGCCGACTGGACAACAGATATTGAAGATTGTGTCACAGCTGACGATGATGTTGTAGGAGTGATTGTAGCTGACGTGGATTGGAGAACAGGTGTTGAAGATTGTGTCATGGTTGACGATGATGCTGAAGCAGTGATTGAAGCAGACGTCACCTGGACGACAGGCGTTGAAGATTGTGTGACGGCTGATGAGGACGTTGAAGGAGTGATTGTAGCAGATGTCGTCTGAGCAACAGGCGTTGAGGATGATGGGGAAGAAGCCGTTGTGGGAGAAGACGATTGGGAAACAAACTTTGAAGATGATGCTGAAGCAGTGATTGTAGCAGACGTCGGCTGGGCAACAGGCGTTGAGGATGATACTGAAGCAGTGATTGTGGCAGATGTCGTTTGGGCAACAGGTCCTGAAGATGATGTTGAAGCAGCGATTGTGGCAGACGTCGACTGGACAACAGGTGTTGAAGATTGTGTTACAGCTGACGATGATGTTGAAGCAGCGGTTGTAGAAGACGCCGACTGGACAACAGGTATTGAAGATTGTGTGACACCTGAAGATAATGTCGAAGGAGTGATTGTAGCAAAAGTCGACTGCACAAAAGGCGTTGAGGGGGATACTGAAGCAGCAATTGTGACAGACGTCAATTTGGCAACAGACGTTGAGGATGATGCAGAAGCGAAGCGATTGTAGCAGGCGTCGGCTGGGCAAAAGGCGTTGTAGGTGTGTTACAGTTGACGATGATGCTGAAGCAGCGATGGCAGCAGACATCGACTGGACAACAGGTGTTGAAGATTGTGTCACAGCTGACGATGATGTTGAAGCAGTGATTGTAGAAAACGCCGACTGGACAACAGATGTTGAAGATACTGAAGTGTCACAGCTGACGATGATGTTGAAGCAGCGATTGTAGCAGACGTCGACTGGACAACAGGTGTTGAAGATTGTGTCACAGTTGACGATGATGTTGAAGCAGTGATTGCAGAAGACGCCGACTGGGAACAGGTATTGAAGGCTGATATGTGAAGAGTGATTGTAGATGATGTCGTCGCAACAGGAGTGATTGTAGCAAACGTCGATTGGGAAACAAACTTTGAAGAATGCTGAAGCAGCTGGGCGTGCGTTGAGGATGATACTGAAGCAGTGATTGTGGCAGATGTCGTTTGGGCAACAGGTCCTGAAGATGATGTTGAAGCAGCGATTGTGGCAGACGTCGACTGGACAACAGGTGTTGAAGATTGTGTTACAGCTGACGATGATGTTGAAGCAGCGGTTGTAGAAGACGCCGACTGGACAACAGGTATTGAAGATTGTGTGACACCTGAAGATAATGTCGAAGGAGTGATTGTAGCAAAAGTCGACTGCACAAAAGGCGTTGAGGGGGATACTGAAGCAGCAATTGTGACAGACGTCAATTTGGCAACAGACGTTGAGGATGATGCAGAAGCAGCGATTGTAGCAGACGTCGGCTGGGCAACAGGCGTTGTAGATTGTGTTACAGTTGACGATGATGCTGAAGCAGCGATGGCGGCAGACATCGACTGGACAACAGGTGTTGAAGATTGTGTCACAGCTGACGATGATGTTGAAGAAGCGGTTGTAGAAGACGCCGACTGGACAACAGATGTTGAAGATTGTGTCACAGCTGACGATGATGTTGTAGGAGTGATTGTAGCTGACGTGGATTGGAGAACAGGTGTTGAAGATTGTGTCATGGTTGACGATGATGCTGAAGCAGTGATTGAAGCAGACGTCACCTGGACGACAGGCGTTGAAGATTGTGTGACGGCTGATGAGGACGTTGAAGGAGTGATTGTAGCAGATGTCGTCTGAGCAACAGGCGTTGAGGATGATGGGGAAGAAGCCGTTGTGGGAGAAGACGATTGGGAAACAAACTTTGAAGATGATGCTGAAGCAGTGATTGTAGCAGACGTCGGCTGGGCAACAGGCGTTGAGGATGATACTGAAGCAGTGATTGTGGCAGATGTCGTTTGGGCAACAGGTCCTGAAGATGATGTTGAAGCAGCGATTGTGGCAGACGTCGACTGGACAACAGGTGTTGAAGATTGTGTTACAGCTGACGATGATGTTGAAGCAGCGGTTGTAGAAGACGCCGACTGGACAACAGGTATTGAAGATTGTGTGACAGCTGACGATGATGTTGTAGGAGTGATTGTAGCTGACGTGGATTGGAGAACAGGTGTTGAAGATTGTGTCATGGTTGACGATGATGCTGAAGCTGAAGAGTGATTGAAGCTGAGGGGATAATTTGCGCCATGACGTCACCTGGACGAACATGACGTTGAAGATTGATGCAGTGTGACGGCTGATGATGATGTTGAACGCTGAGTGATTGTAGCAGATGTCGTCTGGAGCAACAGGCGTTGAGGATGATGATTGGGAAAAAGCCGTTGTGGGAGAAGACGATTGGGAAACAAACTTTGAAGATGATGCTGAAGCAGTGATTGTAGCAGACGTCGGCTGGGCAACAGGCGTTGAGGATGATACTGAAGCAGTGATTGTGGCAGATGTCGTTTGGGCAACAGGTCCTGAAGATGATGTTGAAGCAGCGATTGTGGCAGACGTCGACTGGACAACAGGTGTTGAAGATTGTGTTACAGCTGACGATGATGTTGAAGCAGCGGTTGTAGAAGACGCCGACTGGACAACAGGTATTGAAGATTGTGTGACACCTGAAGATAATGTCGAAGAGTGATTGTAGCAAAAGTCGACTGCACAAAAGGCGTTGAGGGGATACTGAAGCTGCTAATTGTGACGGAGACGTCGATTTTGGCAACAGACGTTGAGGATGATGCAGAAGCAGCGATTGTATTAGACGTCGGCTGGGCAACAGG